TCCTCGAATGAAATCTATATGGTCACTAACTCCATAGATGGCTGCATTATGTTGTGCATAGTCAATTTTCTTCGGATCAATATCGATGGCAATTACATGTCTACACCTTTGTGAAAATTGGACTGCATTTCCACCAACTCCAGTGAAGAAATCAACTAAAGTACCATTTGCACAACGATGTGCATGATGCTTCGCTATGGACTCAGGAGTAACAGAGAACCATCCTTCTTCATCCATTTGAATGCCTTCATACCTTTGACACCAGTATTTACTCAAACCAGAATAAAATCCTTCAATTATTGACGGGAATTGAAACTCTCGCCTTCCTACGGAGAGAATCTCACTCACTAGACCTGAGATACGGTGTGGATTTTCCACATCTTCTGGATTATATTTTCTCTGCGTGAACAGGTTCCGATGCGGAACAGCCATGGATTTCGCCATAATTGGAGATCGAGCGATCGGACGAGCTCCTTCCTTCCCCTACGGAACGGTTGTGGAGGTCGCCTGAACTGGAGATCGACTCGGAATCAACGGAGCTCCTTCCTTCCCCTACGGAACGGTTGTGGAGGTCGCCTGAACTGGAGATCGACTCGGAATCAACAGAGCTCCTTCCTTCCGCTGCGGAAGGGCTATGGAGATCGACGATGGATAGACTCGGATCGCCTTCCGCTGCGGATCGGCTACGGAAGTCTGCTCCGAAATCAAATTCCTCTCTGGAATCGTTGCGGATGCCGATCGAATTGGTGATCGAGCATCGGCTTTGTTGTTTCTACTCTGCGTAGCATTAATCTTCTCCGCTGCCGGGATTGAAGAAGAAGAGCACGGTTGATCGAGTTCCTCTGCGGAACCGACTTTGGAACAACACGAGAAAGGAATCACATGAATGGAGATTGTGTGACCGGAGTGGTAGCTTGCGTCTTCTGATTCACGCCGGCGACAGTAGAGACGGCGGCGGCGGCGTAGGATCGCCGCTCTGATACCATGTTGAAAGTGGTTACATGTTGAAAGTGAAAGGATGAATGGAAGACTTCATTGATGAACACAGTGCGTACAGAATGAATGGATAACAAAACATAAAAACTTGATAGAAGAAGGAAAATAACAAACTCTTATACTGGAAGCAAAACAGAGAAGAAAGATGCGGTTATGGGGTTATGGGAAAATGGCAACAATGCCCTTCTAGTTATACTAGCTACTAGACGTACTGCTGTCTTCTTGGAGATGGTTCCTTCATCATATTGCCTATTTGATCTTTTGATGCTATTTGAGTGATAAATAGAGAAGCATGATCATTAAGTGATTAAGAATTATTAGAAAAGCATGAGTAGAATGTGTTATATGTTTCAATGAAATTTGAAGTCTATTTTGATGGTAGAAATATATAGAGTTTGATATATTGCAAACCGAACATGATATTGTGTTCTAGAGAGAGCTTTGTGATATATATATATATGGAGTTGAAGCATGTTTTATAGTATTTTGCATTTTGAGTATATCATGTTTTCAAAGTGCATAAGTGACCAACGTGAGCCTAAGTATTATTTTCAAAAATTCATGAGCATGTGGTATATCATTGTCTTGATGCATTGAGAAGTTGTTGAGATGTTGCATGCATGAGATTGATGCATGAGCGTATTTATATATTATCTATATCGGTGAGGTTTTGGAGGATCCCGTTTGGACTATGTCCTCTCGGATGATTATTATGGACATTGCGGTCCTAGTATATGTAACGAGGCGTATTCTCACGTTACGAGGTTGGAGACTTCCTGTCGGGCTTGGAATCCTGGTTACGGCACACTAAAAGTACGATACCTGATTGCACAGAGAAAGCAAGAAAGAAAGATAAAGAACCCAGATAGTGGTTCTGTGGGCGAGTTGAGTATGTGGCCAGCTAGATTGCCGAGCCGGTTAGGTCCATTCACGATTCGTGAAGACCTACCTCCCCACGAGTAAGAGGTTTCATAGTTACGGATGTGGCGGATGCACGAGATTGCACCGTACGCTAGGGCTTCGCTGCGACGGAGTACCTGCCTCGCACAAGAAGAGAAATGAGAAGTATGACAAAATTTGAGCAAGAAAGATATCGAGTCAAGAGACTCAAGAGAAAGAAAGCAAGTCATTTATGACTCAATGAGACCTCCACAGAAAGTATTATATTTTACAAATGAGTGTGTGAGTATATTTATAGTATTGCACGAGATTGCATATAAGTATAGTATTGCACAAGATTGCATTTGAGTAGAATATTGCATGAGATTGCATAATGAGAATGATGATTCAAGTTTGTATATCGAGCATGATTATTTTGTTACATTTTGAAGTCTTGTATATCCAGTTGCATGATGAGAACTTGAAAGCATGACGATACTTTTCGTATGGTTTAATAGTATAAATTTGCTTGTAAGCATGAGATTGTTACTATGAGTTCGTTGTGATATATATGTGTTGGAATCTTTATGTTGTTAAGTCATTTGTATTAAAGCATGCATGTTGATATTATAGGTTGCAAGCATATAGAAAGTCTGTGATGTATCTTAAAGTTGTCTAAGTGTTGAGATTGCTTGATTAGAGTTTGTGAACAAATGTTTTTCCAAAGTATACTCTATAGTACTTTACAGGGTTGAGTGTGGTTATACTTAGCTTCGTGCTAACGGGTGTTTTCATATTTGTCTATGTGTTGTTTGTAAAACCCCTTTTAGGTGAGCCCAGCGTTGAGAAGTGAACGAGTTAGACTAGACTAGTAGTTATAGAAGTCTACACTCTTAATGTTTTGATCATGATGTTAATTATCGGAATTTAGACTTATATTGTGGGTGACGTTTGATGATGTAGACTTCGGGGTGTCTTTTTCCCCTTATGACTTTCAGTTAGTTTTATGGATGCTAGTTATTTAATCTTTGTTTATAGTTCTACCCTTAGCCTGTGCAATCACCACAGAATGGTGGTTGCGGCAGTGACATTCCCACTAGTTATCTTATTTAGTTGTTTATCCGTTGCTTAGTTTATGTTAATTGTGGTTTAAAATTGTAATTAAGAGTTAGAAAAAGTGGGGTGTTACACAAAGTCCTAACAATCCTCGGCAATTTATACCATACACCCTGGCGTATGACTCTGTGTGCCCAGCTGCAATACGACGTCGCATGACACTGGTAAGTAACGGTTTTTTTTTATTGCTCCGTTTCCGCTGTTAAGTTTAAAAAAAAAAAAAAAAGGAAAGTAAGCGAGGGTTTCTAAAGTGCTGCTTTCATTCACGATTTATTGTTCTTCGATGTATATATCGAGCTTATCTTTGCGATTTGCTTTATATTTCGCAATTATTGGATTTAAGACATGGACGAAGCGATTGCGCAGCATCAAGTGGCGGAGACAGAGGAATTCAATGATCCGGTTGGATTGATAGATAAAGAGAATGTTAATCCAATTTTTTATATTTGATTTCTCATATGATTTTGTATTTTTTCGTTGTGTGATGGATATGATTAAATTCGTATGGGATAGTGATTCATTGAATTATATGAAAATTGGTATATGATTGGTGTTTTTGATTGTGTTTGTATTGGATGTGAGTATGATCTTATTAGAAGGTGTTAATTTAGGGGAGTTTTATGTGCATTATATTGTTTGATTTGTACGTATTTTTTATGTAATTGTGTAGATTTTGGGATTCAATGACATAGTAAGCTGGACTGAAAAGATATTTTATATATTTATGATTATGTATATTGTGGTATGTGTTTATGTGTATTATAGTTACGGATTATGTACATTAATCGTAGAGGTACTTAAGCTATGTGGTTTGCAACTGATCAGGATTTGGTAGGGAAGTCAACGTGTTTGGTTGATGAAGCATATGGCATGTATAATGACTATGCTTTTAGATTAGGTTTTAGTGTGAGGAGGGGTAAGCAAAGATATAGTTCTGTTACAAAAACAATGAAGACGAAGATGTTTCATTGTTCGAAGGCTGGATTTAAAAAGATTATAAGAAATGGTGCTATTCTAAAATTGATGGTCATACAGGTTGCTGTGCATTTGTCCAATTTGATTTAGATGAGAATGGGATGTGAATTGCTTCGAAGCATGAGAAGTTGCGTAATCATGAATTGGTTCCACCGAGCAAGAGTTACCTTCTAAGGTCACATAGGATGGTGTCTAGGAATCATATTTTTTAACTCACTAATTTGAAGAACTGGTGGGGTGTCGAATCCAACAAATAATAATTTACTTACTCTAATAAAATTGCAACAGCAATGAGTAAGGTCGTATCCCTAGAGATTGGTTTAATTAATTTTAAGCCAAGATTAAATTAAGAATTAAGAATTGAATGATAATTCAAGTTCAAAATGCAATAATAAAATAGCGAAGAATATTAAGTATCAAATAAAATGAATCAATATAAAACTAGTATCCAACCCAAGACATAATATCAGAATTGATCCAAAGAAGTGATCATTGAAATAAAGTGTAAATCCTTTTATCCTACACCAAACTGGTTATGGTTATTAACAAGCTCCTATCTCTCCTTACTTTATCGGTAATCAAAACAGGCTCTTCAATTACTTCCCTAGATAATTAACAACCTTAAACAAGCTCTTAGGATTTAATTAACTACCAGCATTAAAAATTAAAAAAACTACCAATTCTAGCCAACAGACTCGCAAGCTCGGTCCATTTAAACTAGATTATATATCTCCATAACATAAGATTGAAAATCTAATTTATAATCAACTATGTTATTTTACCACTAAGGTTTAGAATACTTGAACAATTACGGATTCAAGAATTTTAAATGGCAATTTACTGAAATGAAAATTGAACAAAGGATCATTTTTGCATAATTAATCAAAGAAGTAATATATCAAGATAATAGAGAATATATAAATAATATAACATAAAAGAAAACCAAATTAAGTCTCACAATCCTAAAAGAACCAAAACTTCAATTATTCTTGAGTTGGAAAATAAACTTAGCAGAACATAATAATTAAATGTTTACAGAAAATAAAATTGTTCTCTGAACTGACTGACTGACTTCTACTGAAAATTCAGCCTATTTATACTAGTTCTAGCTCCCTAATCAACTCAAAATAACCCTAATTTTCCTAACATTCACAAATTAAATTCATATCTTAAACCACATAAAATCTAGAAAATAAATAATATTTATTTTTCTAACCAGAGAAATTTAACAAACTAGGCTCCAATTACTCTTGGCTTCAATTGATTTCGTCCAGCTCGTTCGTAGAAGAAGTTCGAAGAAGTCGCTCGTCCCTTCAGTCGTCGATGGAGTCGTCATCTTGACTTCATTCTGCTGCTACGGTCTACGTACATAACTAACGAAACAAAAGAGAAGCAATAAATTAAATGAGACTTGGGCCTTTGGGCTGCTGATAAAACAATTAAAACACTTTACATGGACTAACTAGTTAAAACAATTAAAAGGAAATTAATCCAAATCATCAACTAAACCCAATTTCTATTAATTTGTCCATTAAGTCTAATCATTTATATAATTATTATATAAGTGCAAAACATAAAATTAAGTTCAAAATAAATATAATACTAAATAAATAAAACTAATTTATTATAATAACTAATCTAAATTAAATATATAAATCGTACTTATCAAGAATAGTGGTGTTTATGTTGCAGATTGTGTAAGATTCCTTAAAACACAATCGGAGGATCACCACTTAATTGGTTTTACGAGTAGGGATACATATAACTCTTTATGTACTGATGCATTGAACAATTTGGATGGGACTGACTCAAACACACTGATTGAAATATTCAAACGAAGTCAATCAAGTAAAAAGGATTTTTACTTTGATTTTGATGTGGATTTCGAGTCAAGATTGTGTAATTTTTTTTGGAGGGATGGACGAATGAGGAGAGATTATGAATTGTTTGAGGACTTGATAGTTCATGATATAACATATCGTACTAACAAATATGATATGATTTGTGGACCTTTTGTTAGCATGAATCACCATTGCATGAATGTCATGTTTGGATGCGGTTTTTTGATGAATGAGAAGATTGAGTCATTTGTATGGTTGTTTTAGTAATTTTTTAGATCTATGGATTACAAAAGTCAACAAAGTATAATGATGGATCAATGAGCTGCTATGTAGAACAAAGTTGATTATTTATGTACTTACACCTTTCTCTCCTCCCGTGAAACCAGTGTTCCATTTGTCTACTTCAGTCCCTTTGTAGGTCTCCATGTGGCGCATGCAATATATGCCACAATCTGTTGTGTTGTGTTCATTCTGTCATGACATTTGAATGTACTCCACTTCAATATTCTTGACTTTCCTAGCAAGGAAGTTCTTCTTTGTTTGAAGGTGCTTGTAGAAAGCTGGTTTCTGCAGAATATAGTCATTGTAGTGTTTAACTAATTTGAGTATGGTAGATATTAAATTATAGGATATAAATATTAAATATTAGTATTAGTATATCTTACCAATTTGGCTGGGCAGTTCTCATATTTGTTTTATATGGTATTTCTTGGGGCAACAGTTTGTCAATGACCTGAAGTTTTGATTTGGAGATGTTGAAACACATCAAGTAGTAGTGATTTTGTGGCAAGAGTGTAAAGAAAACCTAAAATGAATAATTAAAATGGATTTAACAAATTGTGTCAAATACAAAAGTAAATCCAATAATGCTAGAATTCACATACTTAGGTATATAAATTATTATTTTTTAACTTACAAGACTTGCATCAGTTATATCTATAGCAATTCCCCTCAGCTGGTAGTCAATGTTGTACAGAAGTCACTGACATTCATATTCCTAGCTTTTATCTCAACTTTTTCAAGGGACATCTGTAAAGAAGAAGTTGTTTGTCTTATAGTGCATTGTTTAAAAAAATATTTAGGTCAAGACATATACTTACGTAAGCAGCCTCTGAGAAGAAGATCCTCTTTGGATGACCTACGACTCTTTTCATATCAATCATGGTCATTCTGTGTGCCCAACTCTGCAGAATATTGGTAGCTACTTGCCAGTTTGCCAGTGTCGCAAAGTCCACTCTTGTTGCAAACAGATCATGGCCAGAAAACAACATTTCACTACAAAACAAATTGATATTAGGTTTAAAAATCATAAAATAATGCACATGTATGGAAGTAAAGTTCATAATGTAAAGAATTTCTATAGTTTAATATACATAAAGTAATAATATAATACAAATAAACATACGTATATGTGTTATTAAAAGAAGTGATTGAACTAATAAGATGTAGAAGAAATACATACAATGAAGGGTATTCTTCATTTGGTGGCAAGAACGCATAGTCAGAGATTAGTTTTTCCCTGGCTGAAACATTTTTGAGCTTCGAAATGTTGCTTGTCCAGTACGGGGATCGAAAGGTCAAAGGGTGCTTCTTGAACTTTCGTTGTGACCCTTTCCGGATATTGACATCTTCAACCTCATCTTCAAACTCAGCCATGATACTTTGTAGAGACATAAAAGTAATTAGTAGCATGATTTAAGTAATAGTCATATAATAGCATGATTAAACTAATTAATAAGACTCAAAATGTACATAATATTATAGCAGAATACACATAAAATATTAAAACAATATACATAACCATAAGTGGCTCATGTCTGATGAGTTATTAAACTGAACTACAAAATGTACATAATTACTGGATAAAATACGCATAATAACCTAATAAACTACACATAATGATACTGTTAAGTGATAATTGAGTTTTATCTATGAAATTCAAGTTGGTCTGGAGTTTCTTGTGCTGGTGTTGGTAGTGCTCCATCAGCAACCAACTTCTCCAAGATTGTTGCAATTGGGGTCATAGGTGTTGTATTTTCTTCTGCTGTTTGTGGTGGTGGTGTTTGGGGTGCTGCGTGGTGCAAATGCTGCTTGTGGTTCTGATGTTGGTGCGTGTGGAGGTTGTGCTGTTTTTTGCTGGAATTGCATTTGCTGCTCCTTCTGCAGGTTTGTCTGATGTAGTAACCTCAGGGCCGGTCGGTGTTAGCAAATGAAATGTGGGTGCAGGATGTCAGGAGTTGACATGTTCTTCAAGGTAGCCATGAATGCTGCTTCAAGATCAGCAACTGCATCCAAAAAACTCGGCTGGTTGTATATATCATCATCACGTAGTAGGCTCTCTGGTGGGGTTGGATTCGGGCTTGGTGTGAGGCTTACATTGTTGGACAAGTTGCTGAATACATTCTTTATAATCTGAATGACAGAGGTGTTTGCCCCAACCCCTGCCATGGCCTCACCGAACTCCATAATGCTTGTGGTTATATTCTCCAAGGCTTCGGTGACCTTTTCAACATCTTGATCTTGTGGCTACTCCTGAGGTGGTGGCTGTTGTGCAACTGGCATGTATTCAACAATCTTCCCCTTTCAAAATCCTCCTATCTTTTTATCAACCTTGACTCTTGCTCTCAAATCGCTTGAAGTCCATGAAGTGATTGTAAGAATAATTTTTCTGACTATCTCTCCTCTAACCTGCACCTTGTCTAGGTATGATAGCTTCAAATAAAAAAAAATAAAAAAAGATAAACCACATAAAATTAATATCAGTTCAAATTAATTTTCAAAATGCTATAGTAAATTACACATAACTTCATAAAAAATGTACATAATTATAAACTATAATATAGATAATATATATTCAGAATACACATAAAGTTGTAGAACAACATCCAAAATTCATACCATAGGAAAGTGGCAAGCCTAGTGAAGGTTGCATCACGTTTGGTTTTCCATGCTGAAGTGGTGTCAACAAGAGATCTGATTGTGTAAGCACACCAGTTCAAGTCTTTGATTTTGCTAACATCTTGCAACGAATAGAGGATCCTGTAGTTGCAAAACATATTCTTGAAACCTTTGATCAGTGTGGAAACAGTGAAGATTACAAAGTCACGCTTGAACATGTCCCCATAGTCACGCTTCTCAATGATCCCATTCAGCATATGGCTCGTTGTTGGTGTGCCTGTCTTTATACCCCACCGTTGTCTCCAAAGGGCAACCAAGTGTTTGAACTGTGGGTTTTTTGTTCATTGCATCACCCTCTATAACAATGTGATGGCCTTTGAGAATACCAAGGGCTGAATGTACATCATCATCTCCTAGAATGAGCTCTTCCTCTTCTATATGGATCGAGCATCTACCAACATCAAACCTTTCAAGAAGGTATCTTAGAAGTTTGCCATCATTCTATATGGATCGAGCATCTACCAACATCAAACTTTTCAATAAGGTATCTTAGAAGTTCGCCATCATAGGAAGAAAGCGTTGCACTTAGGAAGGATCCAAATCCTACGAGATGAAGATGTACATTCAACCCTTGGTATCCCCAAAAGCCATCACACTATTATAGAGGGTGATGCAACGAACAAAAATCCACAGTTCAAACACTTTGTTGCCCTTTGGAGACAACGGTGGGGTATAAAGACAAGCACACCAATGACGAGCCAGATGCTGAATGGGATCATTGAGAGGCGTGACCATGGGAACATGTTCAAGCGTGACTTTGTAATCTTCACTATTTCCACACTGATCAAAGGTTTCAAGAATATGTTTTGCAGCTACAGGATCCTCTATTCGCTACAAGATGTCAGCAAAATCAAAGACTTGGGCTGGTGTGCTTACACAATCAGATCTCTTGTTGACACCACTTCAGCATGAAAAATGAAACGTGATGCAACCTTACTTTCCTAATGGTACAAATTTTGGATGTTGTCCTACAACTTTATGTGTATTCTGAATATATATTATGTATACTCCGTATTATAGTTTACAATTATGTACATTTTTTTATGAAGTTATGTGTAATCTACTATAGCATCCTGAACATTATTAATCTGAACTGATATTAATTTTGTGAGCTTATCTTGTTTTTTTTTTTTTTTCTATTTGAAGCTATCATACCTAGACAAGGTGCAGGTTAGAGGAGAGATATTCAAAAAAATGATTATTACAATCACTTCATGGACTTCAAGCGATTTGAGAGTAAGAGTCAAGGTTGAATACATACAAGCTGCGCAGCAGCCACAAGATCAAGATGTTGAAATGTCACCAAAGCTTTGAAGAATATGACCGCAAACATTATGGAGTTTAGTGAGGTCATGGCAGGGGTTGGGGCAAACACCTCTATCATTGAGATTATAAAGAATGTATTCAGTAACTTGTCCAACAATGCAAGTCTCACACCAAGTCCAAATTGAACCCCACTAGAGAGCCTACTACGTGATGATGATATATACAACCAGCCGAGTTTCTTGGATGCAGTTGCTGATCTTGAAGCAACATTCATGGCTACCTTGAAGAACATGTCAACTCCTGACATCCTGCACCCACATTTCATTTGCTAACGCCAACCGGCCCTGAGGCTACTACATCAGACACACCTGCAGAAGCAGCAGCAAATGCAATTCCAGCAGAAACAGCACCATCTCCACACGCACCAACATCAGAACTACAAACAGCATTTGCACCAGCAGCACCACCACCATCAGTAGCACCCAAAACACCACCACCACAAACAGCAGAAGAAAATACAACACCAATGACCCCAATTGCAACAATCTTGAAGAAGTTGGTTGATGACATAGCTGACAGAGCACCAGGAGCACTACCAACACCAGCACAAAAAACTCCAGACCAACTTGAATTTGATAGGTAAAACTCAATTATCACTTAACAATATCATTATGTGTATTTTATTAGGTTATTATGTGTATTTTATCCAGTAATTATGTCCATTTTATAGTTCAGTTTAATAACTCATCAGACATGAACCACTTATGGTTATGTATATTGTTTTAATATTTTATATGTATTCTACTATAATATTATGTACATTTTGAGTCTTATTAATTAGTTTAATCATGCTATTATATGACTATTACTTAAATCATGCTACTAATTACTTTTCTGTCTCTACAAAGCATCATGGCTTAGTTTGAAGATGAGGTTGAAGATGTCAATATACGGAAAATGCCACAACGAAAATTCAAGAAGCACCCTTTGACCTTTCAATCCCCGTACTGGACAAGCAACATTTCGAAGCTCAAAAATGTTTCAGCTAGAGAAAAACTAATCTCTGACTATGTGTTCCTGCCACCAAATGAAGAATACACTTCATTGTATGTATTTCTTCTATATCTTATTAATTCAATCACTTCTTTTAATAACACATATATGTATGTTTCTGTGTATTATATTAATACTTTATGTATATTAAACTATAAAACTCTTTGCATTATGAACTTTACTTCCATACCTGTCCATTATTTTAAGATTTTAAACCTAATATCAATTTGTTTTGTTTATTTGCAGTGAAATGTTGTTTTCTGGCCATAATCTGTTTGCAACAAGAGAGGACTTTGCCACACTGGCAAACGGGCAAGTAGTTACCAATATTCTGCAAATTTGGACACACAGAATGACCATGATTGATATAAAAAGAGTCGTAGGTCAGCCAAAGAGGATCTTCTTCTCAGAGGTTGCTTACGTAAGTATACGTCTTGACCTAAACAGTTTTTTAAACAATGCACTATAAGACAAACAACCTCTTCTTTACAGATATCGCTTGAAAAAGTTGAGATAAAAGCTAGGAATATGAATGTCAGTGACTTCTGTACAAACATTGACTACCAGCTTAGGGGGACTGCTATTGATATTAACTGATACAAGTCTTGTAAGTAAAAATAAATAAATAAATAAATAAAAATAAAAATATCTATATACCCAAGTATGTGAATTCTAGCATTATTGGATTTACTTCTGTATTTGACACAATTTAAACAATTTATTAAATCCCTTTTAATTATTCATTTCAGGTTTTCTTTACACACTTGCCACAAAATCACTACTACTTGATGTGCTTCAACATCCCCAAATCAAAACTTCAGGTCATTGACAACACCCAAATCAAAACTTTAAGTCATTGACAACAAACTGTTGCCCAAGGAATACCATATAAAACATATATGAGAACTGCCCAGCCAAATTGGTAAGATATACCAATACTAATATTTAATATCTATATCCTATAATTTAATATCTACAGTACTCAAATTAGTTAAACACTACAATGACTATATTCTGCAGAAAACAGTTTTCTACAAGCACCTCTAAACAAAGAAGAACTTCCTTGCTAGGAAAGTCAAAAATATTGAAGTTGAGCACATTCAAATGCCATGACAGAATGAACATAACACAACAGATTGTGGTGTATATTGCATGCGCTACATGGAGACCTACAAAGAGACTGAAGTAGACAAATAAAATACTGGTTCCACGGGAGGAGAGAAAGATGTAAGTACATAAATAATCAATTTTGTTCTACATTACACAATTTATCTCTTGTTTCTTATTATTTTAACATCTATTTTTTTTTTAGGATGCTTTCATTACATCACTTAGAGCCAAGTATGCACCAAACATACTCATGTGGTCAAACAATGCATACATAGAAACGGTCCGACAGTCAACAAAAGACATTTACAAGAAATTAAAATGAAACTATTAACAAAAATTTGTATAAAACACGTTTGATAATCCAAGCTCATATTGACTCGTATTTTAGTTGAATTTTGAAAGTTTCTGTTGAAGATTGACTATTAATAAAAATCTGTATAAAACAGTTTTGGTAATCCAAGTTCATATTGACTCATATTTTATGTTATTCATATTGCAATATAATTATGTGCATAATATAATAAAAATCATAATGTGTATAATCAATGCAAAGACTACACATAAACTATTAAAATAAAAATGTACATAATTATATAAACTGTATTTCAGCAAACAGTTGAATATATCTAAAAAAATCTTTTTGATTTCTTAACCCTTTAATATGCTTCTTTGAGTTCTCACCAATATGTCATATACATAGCCGATGTCGTTAACTTGGGAAAACTTGAACAATGGCAGCAACTATAGCAGCGCATTGATCAGTCATTATACTTTGTTGACTTTTGTAATCCATAGTTCTCAAAAATGACTTAAATAACCATACAAATGACTCAATATTCTCATTCATCAAAAACCGCATCCAAACATGACACTCATGCAATGGTGATTCATGTCAACAAAAGGTCCACAAATCATATCATATTTGTTAGTACGATATGTTATATCGTGAACTAACAAGTCCCCAAACAATTCATAATCTCTCCTCAATCGTTCATTCCTCCATAAAAAAACTACACAATCTTGACTCGAAATACACCTCAAAATCAAAGTAAAAATCATTTTCACTTGACTGCCTTCATTTGAATATTTCAATCAGTGTATTTGAGTCAGTCCCATCCAATTTATTCAATGCATCAGTACATAAAGAGTTATATGCATCCCTACTTGTAAAACCAACAAGTGGTGATCCCCCTGATTATGTTTTAAAAAATCTTATATCATTTGCAACAGAAACACCATTGTTCTTCAAATCAGTAAGATAAGAAATATGATTCCTAGACACCATCCTATGTGACCTGAGAAGGTAACTCTTGCTCGGTGGAACCAATTCATGATTACGCAACTTCTCATGCTTCGAAGCAATCCACATCCCATTCTCATCTAAATCAAATTGGACAAATGCACAGCAACCTGTACGACCATCAATTTTAGAATAGCATCTATTTCCTATAATCCTTTTAAATCCAGCCTTCGAACAATGAAACATCTTCGTCTTCATTGTTTTTGTAACATAACTATATCTTTGTTTACCCCTCCTCACACTAAAACCTAATCTAAAAGCATAGTCATTATACATGTCATATGCTTCATCAATCGAACACGCTGACATCCCTACCAAATCTTGATCAACTGCAAACCACATACAGTTTAAGTACCCCTACGATTAATGTACATAATCCGTAACTATAATACACATAAACACATACCACAATATACATAATCATAAATATATAAAATATCTTTTCAGTCCAGCTTACTATGTCATTGAATCCCAAAATCTACACAATTGCATAATAATAAAAAATAAGCACAAATCAAACCATATAATGCACATAAAACACCCCTAAATTAACACCTTCTAATCAGATCATACTCACATCCAATACAAACACAATCAAAAACACTAATCCTATATCAATTCTCATATAATTCAATGAATCAGTATCCTATACAAATTCAATCATATCCATCACACAACGAAAAAAATACAAAATAATATGAGAAATCAAATATAAAAAACCTGGATTAACATTTTCTGTATCTGCCAATCCAACCGGATCATTGAATTCCTCTGTCTCCGCCACCTGCTGTTGCGCAATCACTTCGTCCATGTAAATCCAATAATTGCGAAATATAGAGCAAATCGCAAAGATCAGCTCGATATATACATCGAAGAACAATAAATCGCGAATGAAACCAGCACTTTAGAAACCCTCGCTTACTTTCCTTTTTTTTTTTAAACTTAACAGCGGAAACGAAGCAATAAAAAAAAAACGTTACTTACCAGTGTCATGCGACGTCGTATTGCAACTGGGCGCACGTAGAGTCATACGCCGGAGTGTATGGTATAAATTGCCGGCAAGCAAATTTTTGTTTGTTTCAGAGACATGTTGGCATGCCACGCCACCAGAGTCTTTATCTGCCGTCAACTTAATGACACTGCTGGAAATAGCTTCTTCCTAGCCATGTATAATTCTCCAGCTACGCATCTTCATTCGCACTTCAATTCTTGATTTCAACAACCATTTGCCATCTACTTCAATCAGCAAAAGGACTTTCCAAACAGGTATAGCTTCTTAACACCAGTTGGGAAGTTAGTTCATCAGGTTTCCTCTAGCCTCTTAATTTAAAAAGGTTCATTTCCTTACGACTTAAAATGGACTGTTCTCTGTTCTCCCACAGTCCCACACCTTGCAGAATTGAATAACAGCTCTAGAAAATTAGCTGTAAGCCTGCCTCCTATCAATTTGTGCTTACAGAAGCACTCCACAATTGACACTATTTAAGAGCATCTCTTACTTTTGCAGGAAGAACTTTGGAAGACTGGGAAGCAGGGAAAAGATTCCCATAAACCGCCTTTTCCAATTGCTTTGGTGTGGTATAATTGAATTGTCCTCAAATTCTTGAGAATATGGCCTTTTTGGGCTATTAACATGCGAGGCAGACTCATTCACAACTCCATTGCCCTGTTCCAGAAAAATATCAAGTAGAACAAGCTAAGGGCACTGTCATGATAACTTAACATGCAGAGAAGGAAATGAAATGATTCAAAAAAAAAAAAACTTACGGTACTCTCTGTTGAGGAAACCAATTGATCCAATAATTTAGACAGTGTGTGTAGATCATCCCTAGAATCTTGGCGAAGAATTTCTTTCCCCATGTTTTGAATCAATTGTGGCATCATTAGCTTATTATCATTATCAACAGTAACGAGGGATATGTCGATGAGGTTCTGAATTCCAACTACTGGGTGCAAATCACATTTTTCTAAAACGTTGATTGCAAAGTCCCTGTCTTTCCCCACAAAATGACAGGCAATGAGAACGAACAATCTCTTGTCATAATCATCTAACGGATTTAAGCTTATCTCGAGATTTCTTTGAATCTTGTGATGAAGAATTCTTTCCAACTTCTCTAATTTACTTCTCCAAACATCCATGCTTCTCCCAGAAAGATAAGAACCCAGATCTTTAAGAGCTAAAGGAAGCCCGCCACAGTGACGAATTGCCTTTACCGAGTATTCCATTAGATGTTCAAGAGGATCGTCTTGTCCAAAGGCATACCTACAGAAGAGTTTTAACGACTCTTCATCATCCAGTTCCTTAATCTTGTACTGCAAATGCCTTTCGTGTCCCTTTAACAGATTCTCACACCTTGTTGTAATTATAATTTTACTTCCTCGAGAAAACCAATCTCTTGCTCCAATTACCACATCCAAGAGTTCTAACTGATCTACATCGTCAAAAACGATAAAAACTTTTTTACTGCCAATAGCATCTTTGATCTTGATGATCCCTTCATCGGTATTAAATATAATTTCCTCTCTTCCTTTCAAAATGTTTTCAAAGATTTGTTTTTGTAGACCAACCTGACCATTGGGTATTTCTGAAGCTGCTCTAACATTTGCCAGGAAGCAACTACCTTCAAATCTATCGTAATTCAAGTTGTAAGCTACTTTAGCAACAGTAGTCTTTCCCACTCCACCCAAACCGCAAATCACACCTACGCCAACATCACTGGACTCATCCTGTAACCACTTGTTAATTTTCCCGACTCGAGATGCTAGTCCAACTGTGTATGAAGGTACGCTTAGTACTGTACGATTCAGTTTCTTTACAATCTCCCTGATGATTTTTTGGATGAACTCTGCCTCATGCCTATATTGCAGTTCAAATATAGAAAGATCAAAAGGTACTAGTTATACAGTTTGCAATCAAAATTGAATCATTAGGAAAACACAGGACAAGAAAAAAGTAACGGTTCAAGTTCATCAAAAGCAACTTATTGCACACTCACAAACTGTTGGAGTCGTTAACATCTAAAGGTGACACGGGAAATTGATCAAAACCAAAGGTTGCAAGTTCATAAACTTCTAAAGTTTACCCATTAAATGGGGTTTAGGCCAAACATATTGAACATAAAGTTTAAGAGTTGATAAATTTGCAGCCTTCTTAAGTGTTAACCTCACCTATTCACTCCATGCCTCCAAATGAATTATATTCAATACTCTTCTCCCAAAAGATTGAATTCCCAACTCCAAGGACTCCCCACACCCTGGCCCGACAGAGGATGTAAATCACGGTAACTCAGTGGCTCAACAGACAGGGCCAAATGCCGGGATCGGCCCACTTTGGGCACAATCCCAACACTGCAGCTACCGAGTTTCCAATCTTGGTCTCTTCTCCCAAATACTATCTACCAAACCAGTGAGCTAAGCCTCTGCGGGCACTTAGTCAATACTCTTCTAAATATATTCATCTAGTCCAATCGGATAATTTATGGGCAAGAGGGAGTACATAACATACCTACATTATGAGTATAAATGATGAAAGCCTAATATTACTTGGCATAGAGTCAATCCTAACAATCTTTAATGGGCACTTAATATTCTAACACAAGAACTCACTCTCCAGTAGAACCAAAGAGCCTACTAATATGAGTATTTAAGGAAACATTATACTACACCTTATTTTCCTGAGAATCACATTGTAAAGATAAACAATTTGGTAAAAAGATGAAGAAATTTGATGATAAATTAGCAAACTTACCCATCACATTCTTCCTGCAAAACCATTCCTTGCAATCCTGCAACTTCTCTGAGAGCTTCTCTCCACTTCTCCACCTTTCCTTTCCACTCCACCCTTCCTTCTTCCACCTCCATCTTCTCCCTCTTCGCGTGCCTCTCAAACGCCTCCGCGAAGCTCCCGCTTTGCTTCTCCACATCCGCCCTTCCCACGCTGTAAAAAATGGGGAAAACCGCATGCCCTTCACTCTTCCTCCTCCCCAGAATAGTCAAAAGTTCGTCGAGACACCACCTGGAAGATGCGTAGTCTTTTGAGAAGACTATAATCGAGATTCGCGATTCTCGGATCCCCCTCCGCAGCTCCGCGTCGATATTCTCGCCCCGGCCTATCTCGTCGTCGTCCCGGAAAGTTCTGATTCCGGCGTTGATTAGGGCAGTGTAAAGGTGATCGGTGAAGTTCTTTCGAGTGTCTTCGCCTCTGAAACTCAAGAAAGCATGGTAAAAAAATCTGGGCACCGATGAAATGCCGGATTCTTGGGTTCTAGCTTCTGCTTCCATTTATTACACCAAGTGAAACGTAAAATAAGGATTGGGTTGAGGTGTGGAGAATCAAACTAAACTATGATCAACAAATGAAAGAAATATCAGAACTATGTGCTCGTAACAGAAGAATTAAGGGTCGAATTCGATCGAGTAGTGTAGAAAAGATTGAAGTACTAGTGAAAGAAGAAGAGCGAGGATTGAATTTGATCAAGAAAAAACTGAAATATATGCTTGTTAAAGAAGCATGGAGGGATTAAAGTCAATAGCATGGAGGGATTAAAGTCAATGATTAATATTAAAAAGAGTTAATACCCAAAATCGTCCTCGACTATAGTGATTTTTCTCAATTTCGTCCTAAACGACCCGACTTTGGTGACCTAATATCGTCCCAGACTTTTGTGTTTCGCTCAATTTAGTCCCAGACTTTTGTGTTTTTGCTCAATTTAGTCCTTCATTTGTTATTCTGTCTATTTGGTGTTAAATAAATAGACAATTCAGTAATTTTAATATTGGCATCTCTTTACTCATAGACATGTGAACTGCAAAATCCCTTTTTTTTTTTTACGAATTACTCCCAGAATTACTCCTAAAACTGCGAATATAAAATTTGATTTGCAGGTCCGGGAGTAATTCTGCGTGTAATTCGTACAAGAAAGAGGAATTTCGCACTTCACAAGTTGAAAGTAAAGAGAGATCAATATTGACATTACTGAATTGTCCCTTTATTTAACACCAATGTGATAGAATAACAAATGAAGGACTAAATTGAGCGAAACATAAAAGTCTGGGACGATATTAGGTCACCAAAGTCGTTTAGGACGAAATTGAGAAAAATCACTATAGTCGATGACGATTTTGGGTATTAACTCATATTAAAAACAATGGAATTAAAATTAAAATATGGTTAAATACTTAAATCTAAGGATGACAGAAGGAATGAAGGATTAGTCCCGCGTAGTCGCGTAGACGGCCGACCGGGAAGAATTTACACCGTGTTTGGTTATACCTCCATTTGAGAGAACTAGGTTACAAGACTTACAACGATTAAATCGATGTAATTAATACAAGTTAAATTAAAACATTATCCATGTAATTAAAAAAAAATATTTTCAAGAATAATCACTTCACTATTGATATTTATCAATTTTATTCTCGATTCTCGATTTTTAATCTAATTATAAACGATCCTTTGACTATTGATTTTGTTAAAGATTTGGTTTTCCGATTAAATATTTGTTTAATAGGCCTTAAGTTTAAGGGTAAGAATGTAAACATAATAGCAAAAATTTTTCTCCAAATTTACATATTTAAGAGTGTTGAAACAAATGATATAATCGTCTCAAATTTAGAGCATAGACTTCTTAGTGATCTGGTCCACTAATGATGAATGAGTTAATACCCAAAATGATCATCGACTATAATGACTTTTCAATTAGTCGACTTGAGCTAGAGGGGCACGAGTCATTAACTGCCTTATCGGCTGACTCTTTGGTCACAAGAGATTTCCCCTTTCTGTCACCCTTCGAGTGGTTGTGTGAGCTTCTACCACTCGTCTCTCCAAGAGCATTCCTCAAATCGTTGTTATTGGTACTCCTCGGTTGGTCTTAATGCTTTCTCACAACCGGATAGGGACAATCCACTTTGTATTGTCCTGGTTTTCTATAGTTGTAGCACAGTACATGCAACTTCTCGGAACCCTTACTCTTCAAGGCACTTGACCTCTTAGAGTGTCTCCGATTTGAGAAAAATGGTGCGGATGGAGTTCCTTAGATATTGCTCTTCCTCATGAAGCGCTTAAACTTCCTGACAAACATAGCAAACTGTTCATCAGATTAAAAATCAGAGAGGTTAGAGTTTAACCTGGATGAAGTGGATGGTTGTTAGTCAGCAACCAACACTGCGGTTCTTGGTACCTCTTCATCACCCTCCAATTCCCTCTCAAACTCATAAGCTTTCAAATCACTAAAGATTTGAGATGTCTGGATAGCCTTGAAGTCACGATGGTCACGCATGGCTATAACCTTCATCTCCCATGACTTTGGCAATCCATGGAGAATCTTAAGGTTAATCTCCTTCTAGGATAACTCCTTTCCCAGATCAGCTACCTCGCTGAGGAGTTTCATAAACCGAGTCTCCATCTCGGCTATGCTCTCACCCTTAACCATTCAGAAGTCCTCAAACTTCTTCATAGCAATAGTAAGCTTGTTCTCCTTCTCTTGTTCATCGCTTTCACCGATCTGAATGAGCACCTCCCAGATTTCCTTTGCAAATTTTCACTTCTTGATTCTAGGGAATAACGTCTCGTCGACCGTCTTGAACATGATGTCCTTGGCTATGTTGTCCAAGTTGTTCCTTGTTCGGTCCTCCGACGTCCATGCATGCCTCTGTTTTACAACATATTCTAGAGTGTCCAGTCTTTGGGCTGCTGCATGAGCATTCACCATCATTATATAGACAAGACCTTCTGTCACGACCTCCCACATCTCGTCATGCAGAGCCGAGATGTGCGCCTACCGCCTACATATGCACCTTCCAATCATCAAACTTGTTTATGTTGAACAACAAATTTTCGGAAAGATGATGATCCATATTATCAAAGAAAATTCTTGCTAGTGAAAAAAAGACTTTTGAATTTTCAATAGAGATCACCAGACAGTATACACAAAGTGTTTACCGTTCAACGTAACTGCTCTGATACCACTTGTTGGTCCCAATGAGGATTAGGATACAAGTCTAGAGGGGGTGAATAGACTTGTATAATTTTTGAAAACTTTTACGATTCATTAAAGTACCTGAGAAGTAGCTTTAAAGTTTTGAGAATATGCACATCAAAAATTGTATTAACCCTTTTAAAGTTTAATTGCACATAAATTTGTTCTTATAAGATGTTAGGTTTGATTCTTGATTAAATGCAATGAAAGCAGTAAGTAAGAAAGTAAAGAGAGATATAGAGTTTTTATAGTGGTTCGACCAACTCAGCCTACTTCACTATTCTCCTTAGAATTCCTATGAGGGTTGCACTAGTCCTTTAGTACAATAACAGACGTTCAAACCTTGAACACTAAACCAACCTTGAACTCCACCAAGTGTTTCAACTCCTCACTAAGTTTACTCTGCTTCTTTCTACTACTACCGTGTAGAAAATACAAGTTTAGAAGAAAAAGTTCTTCTTTCTCTAACAAAGAGAGTTTGGCTATGAATAACTTGATCTTTGACGATTGATAGCAGCACAAGCTTCTTGAAATATGGATATTTGCTTTTAAGCTTTGTCTCTCTTTCTCACGAACTGGTCACTAGATGTGAAACAATTCGAAAGCTTTGGATTACTAAGAAACTTTTTTTCTAGCCCCTTCTTCAGTCTTGGAAGAGGATATTTATAGGCGCATTGAAATAGTTCCGTTGGAGGGAAACCAATTTCAAACGGCTATTGACCAGCGTGTAGAGACCGACGGGTAATCTGGAGGGTAGGTGACTTATTAGATTTTCCAGCCGTTGGTGACTCATTTTGCGCTGAACATATCTTTTTGTTCTGCACAAAATGTATTGGCTTTTAATGAAATATCTTTCTTGGGATGTGTTCCTATGACTCACTTTGCCTTGGACACATTCACCTAAGATATTAAGGTTTCAAACTGTTGACTTAGAGAATGTCTCGACCCCAATCCATTTTGAATGGTTAACAATGTTAACTCTTCGAACCTTAAACCTTATACTACCTCTCGGATACGAATGGTTGACTTTACCATTCATCCCTATTACTACTTTGAAAGGTAGGTCCTTCGATCATTCGACCTTTGCAACATTTCAGTTTCGAATGGTTGACTTTACCATTCGTTCTTATACTCTTCGAATCTTCAGTCTTCTAGTCTTCTTGTCTTCATCTCGAGCTATTCAAAAGGTAACCATTTGAGTTACTATTTGAATCGTTTGTTGAGACTAACCAAAACGTGACATTTCGAGTGTATTAGTAGTGTTAGTGATGGTGTTGTTTAATTCAAATGTGAAAACTGTAGGTGGTGGAAAATCGGTGCTTCCCTTGGCATTGTAGAGTAGTGATGATGTACCTTCTGTAGAGTAGAAGTGAAAAATGGTCATTGCAAAACTGGTGTACTTTTAACTTTTGTACTTCTGTTTGGTTTCAATAATGCAAAACTGGTGTTTGGTTTCAATAATGCAATGTGTATATACCTTGTGTACTTTGGACAATATCACTTTGGTATGAATGGACATAGCAGCAACAAATGGACAATGAACTGTTTAGTTAGCTTGTGTAGTTTGCAGCTCAAAATGGACAATTTCATTGTACACAATAAGAACAATCTCATTCAACACTAAATGGACAATTTCATTCAAGAATAAATGGATAATTTCATTCAATACAAATGGACAGTTTCACTGCAAAACAGAGTTATGAGACAACCAATTTCACTCCAAAAGCCAAATTTCTAACAAAAGAAACCAACATGAGACAACCAAATATCTAACAAAATATACCCAAATCAGGCTGTCAAAATGACAATGCCAAATGTAACACAGCTTGCATGCCAAATATCTAACAAAAAACACCAAAATGGAGGAACACAACTGTCCAATATGTGTCTCTCAATGTTAATTGGATCCTTTTCATTTCCACCGAACTTGGTCTTTAAACTCATTGAGGATCTTGTCATGTACTTCCTAGTGAACTGGTTTCTTGCTATTGTAAGCCACAATGACTTTTTCCCTTGATGTTTGTCATGAGAGCCAATTACTTGTTTCCATTTGCCATGGTCTATGATCTTAATCTTTTTTGGTGGTAGTCCATAACTAGGCTTCACTCCATGAGCATTTCTTTCATCTCTAGTGTTAAAGCTTTGACCTAAACAATTCTAAAGTAATAAGTATGAAGAATTACATTTCACATGGGATGTCATTAGTTGATAAATGCACTAATTCAACAGGAATTTCAAAGTCATAGGCATGGGCATCATGCTGAATTTGGATGTCAAAGTCATGGTGAAATTATCATCATTACAACAGGTGCATTTGAAATTTGAAAACACTTATAGTATACTCAAGATCTTAGGATGTTGACTATAAATGGCACTGGCCTTGTGATCGAGCGGCATAGCCGTGGATCCTCAAATAAGAGACCTCAGGTTCGAACTCTAGGCATCATCAGAATTACAAAAATACATTTACTCAATAAAAAACTAAGGAGCAATAACATGTTTTCACAAAATGACAAGATATGTTGGT